TCCCTTCCAGCTCCCTGCCTGTGGCCTGGGAAAGCAGTCGAGGACGGCCCAAAGCTTTGGGAACCTGCACCCGCGTGGGAGACCCGGAAGAGGCTCCTGGCTTCGGATCAGCATAGTATCGACCCGTTGCGCTCACTTGGGGAGTGAATCATCAGACGGAAGATCTTCCTCTCTGTCTCTCCTCTCTGTATATCCGCCTTTCCAATGAAAAAAAAAATAAAAATAAATCTTTAAAAAAAAAATTAATTAAATAAATGTGAAAATAGGAAATACTTGGGACCAGCACTGTGGTTTCAGGGTAGAAGGCACTGACTGCCGTTCTAGCAGCCCCAAAGGCTCCGCTTCCCGAGCAGCACTCTGCCAGTGGCCTGGGGAAAGCCGGGAAGGTGGCGGAGTGCTTACACCCCTACTCCCACACGGGAGACCTGAAGAAAGCCTCTGGTCCAATGTGCACCAGCCCTGGCCATGCGGCTGAAAAGGAAAATTTAGGATAGAGGAATTTAACTTGCTTGTTTTGCCTTCTGTATCTTGCTTGCTGAGAATAGCTGAATAGGACTTCTCTTGGTAAATTATTAAGTTCAATTGGGACTCAGGATTCAAAGTACGACAGTGGCCCTGAGATAGGCATCTCAGGAGGAATCAAGGTAAATAGTGAGGAGACAGAAAATCCCTGACTTCTTGAAGGAGGCTCCAAAGGTCTGAGAAAAGTAAACTCAAGGAAAATTGTGACAAGGAACTGAAAGAAGCAGCAATCTTATGATGTAATGGTCAGAAAAAAGCCCCTAGCTTTATGGTTTTATGGTTTTAGCCTTTACCCTTTGTGCAAGTAATTTTAAAATGCTGTATAAGTGATTTTGGCCTATAAACAGAATGCTGTGTAATGGCTCGGGGCTGGTGTGCCTACCCTCCTGCGTGAGGAACTGGCCCCAGCCCCAGCGCGCTGGTACCCGAATAAAACCTCATGCTTTTGCATCAAGCCTCGTCTTCGCTGATCACTGGGGAGACTCACTTTCTCGATAGACGGTAAGGTTGTCCTCACTTCGGGGTGCCTTACACGGCCATCTAGGCAGACCAGCAGTTGAAAGATCCTCTCTCTCCTTCCATAACACTGACTCAAAACAATAAATCATTTTAAAAAATAAAACTCAAGTGTTAAGATTACTTCATTCCACTATCTATGTTAGTTGCAAGAGTGCATTCTGGGTTTGATGTCAGCATGCACAAATGACCCAACAGCCAGGAGGCCACAGCTGGGCAGCCAGGCCACAGCCTGGCAGCAGGGCCACAGCCGGGCCTCAGCCGGGCCACAGCCACAGCTGGGCAGTCTGGCCACGGCTAGGCAGCTGAGCCATAGCCGGGCAGCCAGGCTACAACCTGGCAGCTGGACCACGGCTGGGCAGCCTGGCTACAATCAGGGCAAGGAGGCCTCAGTTCAGGTCAGTTTTTCTACCCCTTCTGTGAAACACACATTCACCAATTCTTACAGATCTTCTTAATTTACACATAAAGCAAAAACACATGATCCTGCCCCCACTCAAGCTTGGCAATCAGCTTAATTTAAAAAAGCCCCAGGGGCCTGGCGCGGTGGCCTGGCGATTAAAGTCCTCACCTTGAACATGCTAGGATCCATATGGGCTCCGGTTCTAATCCGGGCAGCCCTGCTTCCCATCCAGCTCCCTGCTTGCGGCCTGGGAAAGCAGTCAAGGACGGCCCAAAGCCTTGGGACCCTGCACCCGCGTGGGAGACCCAGAGGAGTTACTGACTCCTGGCTTCAGATCAGTGCAGCTCCGGCCATTGCAGTCACTTGGGGAGTGAGTCCTCGGATAGAGGATATTCCTCTCTGTCTCCCCGTCTCTATATATGTCTGACTTTGGAAGGAAAACTGATACATCTAAAAAAAAAGAAAAGCCCCCAAGACAGCACTGGAGACCTGTCCCATTGTGGCTCCTCATCATTTGCAACGCATACACTGCCTGTAAGTCCTAAGCTGGATGCTCAAGGTAAACACGCAGGAAGCACACTTTCACAGACAGAGTTACAGCCTACTCCAGTGTCTATCTGACATATAAAATCCCACATGCTATGGATAATCCATCTGCTTTACAGATGAAATTACACACACCATAGCTAATTTTCTTAAAGTAGGATTCTGTAGCTGAAGACAACTCTAAGCGCCTTCCTGGGACTGGATGAGGAAGCACGAGAAGCAGCCAGAAGAGAGCGGGTGACCTGAGGACCATGTGCTGCCACCTCACAGGCACCCCACTTCTCAGACAGAACACACGCTGAAGCTGGGGCTCACAGGCTTCCTAAAGACCACAACCGCCACTCAGACGTGAGCAGCCTCCTTCAGCCCTCTCCCGCCTGCCCAAATTCAGCGAGCGACAGTGTGGAAGCCAGGAGCTGGCCGCTGCACTGTGGCCTGGAGTAGACCCCTGGCCACCCGGGGAGGGTCGGGTTACCGAGGACTCCCACGAGCCGGGCACGGGGCTGGCACTTTACAAAGCTTGTCTCACCCAGCGGTAAGCTCTGCTGAGCCCAGCCACCAGCCTGGCTGCACCGCTCAGCTCTTCCCCAAAGCACTCTGCGCTGACACTAAGTCGCTGCCCAGACACGACGCTATGAACACATCGTCACACCCACGTAGTGTAACTTCCAGCTGGTTCTCCTCTCCATTCACGAGGATGTGCGTTCTGTAAGCTGCTCACTCTGCGCTCTCAATCCTTCACGAGTCTGAAGCACCCACAAATCTGTCCACGCAGCACCTTAGCCCGAAACACCTTGCCCTCCTCTTGCCCCTCTCCCCAGCGCCCGACTCCGGCCGACGCCCAGGCAGTCCTTTCCTCCGGGTCTTGCCACTCACCACAGCCCTGCCCAGCTGCCCAGACTGAGCCCTCCCCCGGCCAGCGTCCAGCCTAACCCTCCAAGCCGCCCGAACAGGCCCGCGCGGACACTCCAAGGGGACCCCGGGTCAGTAGCTGCCTTTCTGCTCCTTCCTGCTTGCATCCTCTCCCACCTCCAGGCTGCTCAGACTGCCGGCCTGCAGCAACTGCTAGGGACAGAAGCCAGCCACAGCCCGCACCGAGCGGGAGGGCAGGCAGCCTGTCGCGGGCTGACCCTGGATCCGCGCTGTGATCTGCAACCCTGAGTGTGCCCCAAGCAGTGGGGGCAGGCGGGGAGGCTGACCCAGAGGGTCACCAGGCAGCACCCTTAGGGAAGGACGGGGCTCCGAACCCAGAAGGCCCTGGGGTCACCAGCCAATGGCCTTAACGAAGGACGGGGCCAACCCAGAAGGCCCCGGGTCACCAGGCAGCAGCCTTAGAGACGGGCAGGGCCGACATTGCCCTCTCTTTCCTTGCCAGCCACTGAGACAGGTCTCCAAAGAGGCCCCTTCTGGGCAAGCCCACAGGGGCCCCGTGGCCACCCAGAGCAGCGCTCGCTGCAAGGCGTCCTGTAGCCACCTCGGGCCGCTTGGGCCCCTTCTCTCTCCCCTCTGCACTTCCCACAGCTCAAGTCTCACCAGTGAGCACGGCCCTTTAGGACATAGTGCAGGCAGGGACAGCAGGATGGGGCTTTAGGCCAAGCAGCCAGCCAGAGACCACAGCATAGACAGAAACAGCCCTCTGCCCTCCCCACTGCCCCAAGGCTGCTGAGGCGGACCATGCTCCAGGGCCCCGGGCTGCGAGACCACGGCCACCACACTGAGCTTTGCAAGACATGGCATGCACGGCGTTCTCTAGGTTTTTAGGTGGCAGTGGGTCTGGTGGGGTTCTGTGTTTGGAGGTCGTTATCCAACAACAGGGAGAACCTGCTGGTGCTTTACAGGGAAAACGGCATCATCAGATTGAAGTACCAAAGCAGGGCACCGCGGAGTGCGGCCCTGCCCTGAGCGGCTCTGCTGGCAGCACGCAGCTGCAGGGACACGGGGCACCGCAGAGTGTGGCCCTGCCCTGAGCGGCTCTGCTGGCAGCACGCAGCTACAGGGACACGGGGCACCGCAGAGTGTGGCACTGCCCTGAGCGGCTCTGCACACAGCTACAGGGACACGGGGCACCGCGGAGTGCGGCACTGCCCTGAGCGGCTCTGCTGGCAGCACGCAGCTACAGGGACACGGGGCACCGCAGAGTGTGGCACTGCCCTGAGCGGCTCTGCTGGCAGCACGCAGCTGCAGGGACACGGGGCACCGTGGAGTGCGGCCCTGCTCCGAGCGGCTCTGCTGGCAGCACGCAGTTGCAGGGACACGGGGCACCGCGGAGTGTGGCACTGCCCTGAGCGGCTCTGCCGGAAGCACGCAGCTGCAGGGACGGACCAAGGGCCAAAAGCCCCAGGCCGGGGCCAGGTGCCGACTGGGGCGGCTCTGCGGCTAGGTGCAGATCAGAGTGAACCCGTTGCTCTGAGAAGGCAGGGATCTGTCCTGCCAGCTCAGCTGGTGAGGGGCAGCACACACGCCACCGAGGACACACGCGAGCCCCTGGCTCCTCGGCGCCCCGGCTCTGGCAGGCCTGCCGGGTCCCACGGAAGGAGCAGGCATCCACCCCCGCCAGCAGAACCCAGTCCCGGGGCTCACCACGACCCGGCAGCAGGCCCCACCCGGGGGTCTCCCACGCAGCGTTCCGGCAGCAGGGCCTTAACACCGACCGCCCGTCCCCCACTGCCAGGCGAGACACCCACAATTCCTACAACGTGTGGCCTCGGACTACTGAGGCCACAGGGAGTCACCGCGCGACCAGGGGGAGAGGCTGGAGAGGCCAGAGGTCACCGCAGGGCCGCGGCGGCTCCCTGGGGACACGGCCCCTTCCCCGCCAAGCACCCACCGAGGGCCCCACGCTGCGTGGGAGCTGAGGGAGGCACCCGCGGGAGAACCCCCGCCTGCGCAGCCGGGCCGCCCGGGAGCCCAGCAGGCCTGGGCGGCGGAGCCTTCCGCCTTCGGGGAGCCACGCGGGGCTGCCCACTGCCGTCCACGCGGGGAGCGGGGGCCACCCCGCGCCGCCGGCACTCACTCTGCTGCGCGAGCTTGAGCTTCTGGAAGCTCTCCAGCACGTCGCCGTTGAGGATCCTGGGCAGGAAGTCGCGGATCTGCATCACCTCCGTGGTCAGGCGCTCCAGGTCCTTCTTGCGGACTTTGACGAACTCCTCCTTCGGGCCCACGCGCTGCGAGACAGCGGCCTCAGCAAAGCCGAGACCCCACGCACGCGCGGGCCGGGAGGAAAGGGGGACCCCGGCACCTGCTGGCCGCCTCCCCCATCACGGCCGCCCACCCCAGTCGGGGCCCTGGAGGTCGGGGTGCCCACACGCCTGCCCCCCACGCCGCGGGGCCCCACTGACCCAGCGCTCCTCCTCGGGGCCTCCCGCCTCGCCCGTGGCCGCGGCCATCCTGTGCGGTGCCCACACCGGCCGAGGGGAGCGGGGCGCTCACGGGGCGCCCGGGGCGCGCAGCATGCCGGCCGGGGGTCCGGCTCGGCCGCGTGGGGGTCCTTGTGCACTGCCAAAAGAAGTGAGACGGGGAGGGGGCCAGTCAGCCGCAACAGGTTCACCCAGGCTTGCACCCCCTCATCAGGTGGGGCTTAGGTGAACCCCAACCTGTCGCACACCTAGGAACTGTGTGTGCACGCGCTCCAAGCCCCAGAAGCTGCCGGCTGATCGCACCCCTCCCAGCCAGCACCCTCATAAGACGGTGCCACCTCAGCTCCACGTCGGCCCACGGGAGCAGAGGGACCAAAGAAAACGGAAATTTCAGAAGAAAAAAGATGGGACTGTTTGCAGGAAGGAGGGCGGAAGCCGTGAAGGCACGGCGGCACTGACAGGCCAGACACCGTCACCTTCGGTGGGGTGCCAGCCCGCCCTTGGGGGAGGCACCCCAAGGCAGACGGGCGAGGAGACCCCCAAGTCGGACCACGCCGGGAACTCAGCCTCCGGGTACACAGCCTCGCTGCCCCCGGCACAGCTGGGGTCCTCAAGAACCTGCAGGCCACTCCAGAAACATGACAGACCAGGCTGCTGGTCATCCTCTGCTACAGCCCACCCGACTGACCAGGACACCGTGGGGACCCCCGTCCTCTCCTACGACCCCACCCCTGACTGACCAGGACACCATGGGGACCCCCGTCCTCTCCTACAGCCCACCCGACTGGCCAGGACACCGTGGGGACCCCCGTCCTCTCCTACAGCCCCACCCCTGACTGACCAGGACACCGTGGGGACCCCCGTCCTCTCCTACGACCCCACCCCTGACTGACCAGGACACCGTGGGGACCCCCGTCCTCTCCTACGACCCCACCCCTGACTGACCAGGACACCGTGGGGACCCCCGTCCTCTCCCTACGACCCCATCGCTGCCCCACCCCGAGTGCTGGCGAGGGGCTGCTGGCCACGCGCCGAGCACACCTCAGGCCGGGCCGTCCTTCCCCATCCCGGCTCCACCACAGTCCAGTCAGAAACTCAGCTGCCGGACCGAGCCGAACCGGACTGGACCATAAAGGACCGGGCTTTGCGGAGCGAACAAAACTGTTCCGACACCACGTAAGACCGGCTGTGCCGCTCCTCCTGGCCAAGCCCCCAGCCCGGCTAACCTCGCGGTCCACAGCCCTCAACTAGGGCACAGCCGGCACCGGCAACACGAGCTCGGCCCGGGCCGCTCCGCCCTCTGCCCAGCCCACGCCGCGGGCTTCTAGAACGCGCCGCCCGGCGCCGCCTCTGTGACGCAATCAGCGCGCGCGCGCCGCCGCCTCTGCGCAGGCGTGGCTTGGCGTTTGGAGGCCAAGCTCGTGCTGGCGACCGTGGGTTCGCGGCCCGGGTTGCCCCAGTGGGCGTCATGGCCCCCGCCATGCAGCCGGCCGAGATCCAGTTTGCGCAGCGGCTGGCGTCCAACGAGAAGGGCATCCGGGACCGCGCGGTGAAGAAGCTGCGACAGTATCTCAGCGTGAAGACGCAGAGGGAGGCAGGTGGGCATCCCTGCCGTCGGCGGCCACATGGTGGCCTGGGGTGGCGACCAGAGTCGGGGGTCGGGGGCCGGGGCGCTCATGCGGCGAGTGGGCACCGACGGGAAGGCACTGCCGCCCACGTGGTCGGAGTGTGTGTGAGACCGTCTTAGGGGGACAGGTTGGTAGAGTGGGCAGGACCCGCCTGGGGACTCGGGCAGGTGCTGAGAGCCCAGGCTGACTCGGATCTGCCCGACTCTTGAACATGTGCCTGGGCGGAGCTCTCGGCGTGGCTTCTCGCCTCCGGCCGAGTGGACACCTGTGGGTGCTGCAAAGGGCATCGGGGAGTGTATCCTTCGTGGCTTCGCCGTGCCACCCCCCACCCCGTGTGCTGCTCCTTCCGTCTGTGCCGGCTTGGGCACTGGGTGGGCAGCGGTCAGCAGAACAGTCAGAGCCTTGGCCGCCCCCGTCTTTGGCCGTGTCCCTGCTTGCTTTCTGGCACTGGGCTCGCATTTCAGCTTTGGCACAAGGAGTGTCGGGAGCGTTAGGGAGGTCCTGACTCTTGGGGACACCCACCCCCAAAAAAGTCCCTTGTATTGCCGGTCAGTGTGGAGAGCCACACCGGCCCAAGTTCCCCAGGATGTGGTGGGATACCGGGCCGTGCAGCATCCCGTGGCCTCACACACCGTGTACCTCTGCCCTTTAGGTGGGACAGGGTGTATGTCACAGCTCCTTCCTGTTACCGACCCCTGTCAGCTGGCTGGGTGCCGCCGTCGCAGCTCCTGGCCTGCGGCCGTGGTTGCGTGTGGGTGCAGGTCACCCGGGTAAGCAGGTCCTGGGAGCAGGATGGCGGCCAAGGCCAATGCAGTCCATCAGTGGCCATGCATACATTGTCAAGCAGTGTCGGCACGGCTCCTTCCCTTTTTTGTTTATTTTGTTTGAGAGGCAGAATTACAGAGAAAAGGAAAGACAGAGAAAGATCTTCCACAGTTTCCCAAACAGCTTCAATGGCCAGAGCTGAGCCGATCTGAAGCCAGGAGCCAGGAGCTCCTCCGGGTCTCCCACACAGGTGCAGCGTCCCAAGGCTTTGGGTTGTCCTCAACTGCTTTCCCAGGCCACAGGCAGGGATGGGAAGGAAGCTGAGCAGCCGGGACTCGAACTGGTGCCATGTGCAGTGCCGGAGTTCCAGGGGGAGGTCCTACCTGCTGCACCTCAGCGCTGGCCCTGTCTTTGCACCTCTTACAGGAAGTGTGTTCTAGTGCGCTGATTTTGCCATAGCTTCTGGTGTCCATGAGCAAAGTGTTGGAGCAGATGCTGCGGGCACAGTGGGGAGAGCCATCGCCTGCAGCACCAGCATCCCACGTGGGCGCTGGTTCAAGTCCAGCTGCTCTACTTCCAGTCCAGCTCCCTACTTATGGCCTGCGAAGGCAGCGAAGGGTAGCCGAGGGCCTGGGCCCCTGCTGAGAGACCAGGAAGAAGCTCTGGCCATGGTGGCCATTTGTGAAGTGAGCCAGCAGAGAGAAAATCTTTCTGTCTCTCCTCTCTGTAAATCTGCCTTTCCAAAAAAAAAAAATAATAAATGAACTAAGAAAGGAAAGAAGAAAGAAAAGCATTGAGAGAGGTGTGGTCACTGCAGAATGGAATCAGCCCGTGCTGGTTAGCCGGTGCCCTCGGTCCATGTGAACGGGTTTGGGTGCCGCTTAGCTGCAGCAGCACCAACCTCGCACTTGGGAGCACCCACGGGCTCCCTGCATCCGCCTTGCCCTGTTTAACTCTCCCAAGATCTCTCCCGCTGGTTCCTGGGGAACTGTGGATGAAGACCGGCTCCTGGGCCTCTCAGCTGCAGGACACTCCTGTCATCTGTCTCCCAGTCCGTGGGCTGGGTTGCTCAGGATGTGCCTGCTCTGTCATGGTGCAGCTCCTCCTGGATTTTGTGACTGCCAGGCTGACCCACAAGATACAGACTGTGGGACTGGTGGTAATGGCAGCTACTCCAGGGAGGAACGGGAGACAGCCAAGCCTATGCATCTGGAGTTCAGGCTCCTGTGCCCACCGCTTCCTGCCCGTCTGCCTGTCCCAAGGCCATCTCCCAGGACACTGTGGAGGGGATGGGGTCATAGGAGAGGACGAGGGGTCCCCTCTGCAGCCTGGTCAGTCAGGGATGGCATCATAGGGAGAGGACAGGGGGTCTCCACGGTGTCCTGGTCAGTCAGGGGTGGGGCTGTAGGAGAGGACGGGGGTCCCCACGGTGTCCTGGTCAGTCAGGGGTGGGGCTGTAGGAGAGGACGGGGGTCCCCACGGTGTCCTGGTCAGTCGGGTGGGGCTGTAGGAGAGGACGGGGGCGGTCCCCACAGTGTCCTGGTCAGAGAACAGTGGCTGGAGCTAGACCCAGGAGTCAGGACTTCAGGCAGTTCCAACCTCTATCCTGCACTGGCAGCTTTGACCAAGGTACTCATTTGGGAAATGGCGGTGACACTGTTTCATGGTGTGGTGGGACCATTTTGTGTCCTGGGCAGTGTGCTTCAGAGGACACTGAAGAAATACAGTCTGTGAGCGCAGTGTAAGGCTAGACACTGCCAAGGACAGGAGGAGAAAGTCAAGTTGGACAGAATCATCTCTTGCAGTGGCGATGGGCTCTGCTCATGCGTGCACTGACCTGCGTGGCCAGCACACCACTGCCCCAGACCTGTGAATGTTGGCGGCTGGGGCAGCTGTGGGCTATGGCCCGAGGTTCTGCTGGACTCCCAAGGGTTCCTTCCATGCCAGTGCGGCTTCTCCGTGTTGGGTGGGGGAGAGGGCTGGCCCCCTCCGCAATGGCAGGAGTTGAGCATGTTGCTCCTTGCCACTGCGGGGCAGGCGCTGACGCGAGCCTCGTGCTGCCTTGCTCTGCAGGAGGCTTCAGCCAAGAGGAACTCCTGAAAATCTGGAAGGGGCTCTTCTACTGCATGTGGGTGCAGGACCAACCGCCGCTGCAGGTAATGGGCGGGTGGGAGCCGCAGGGGGACAGACAGCAGGTGCTCAGCTGAGAGCCTGCTGACTTCAGAGTTCACCTGGTGGCTGGAACGGCAGCAGGTCAAGTCCTGGGGGCTGACCTGGCTCCTAAAACGTGGATGTGGCTCATGAGCCACAGCACCAGATCACGTCTCACGCAGTTCTCGCTGTGTGGAAGTGTGTTTCCAGGAGAACAGCCTGGTGAGAGTGCTGGTGTGAGGGTGTGGAGGCGGGGTGCCTGGCAGGGTATGCTCTGCAGAGCCTGTGGCCTGGGTAGCTGCTGCATCGTCCACACAGAGGACTCGGGTCACCGTGTCACTGTTCCCACTCCAGGGACTGGCCGCTCATCTGTCCCCCACAGGCGTTGGAGTGGGAGCTGGAGCTGCGCCCTGAAAGCATGCAGTGTAGACAACTCCCCTTGAAGCTGGAGGTGTTACCTCGGTGGCGTCACAGCCACGCCTGGGGGGCACGGGCACAGGCCAGCAGTGTGGGGGGACCAAGGCATGAGGCTGTCGTCAGGGGTGGACCGTCCTGACCGGGTCGTCTCCTGCCGAATTTGCAGGAAGAGCTTGCCAACTCCATTTCCCAGCTCATCCACGTTGTCAACAACTCGGAGGCCCGTAAGTCATGGGGTTCTCGGCGCTGCCCAAACTAGCTCATGTGTCGCCTAGGAAACCAAGTCCATGCCACTCCTCCTCCTCCCTTTGAAACTGGCGCTGGTGTTGCCACACAGCCGCCAGCAGCTTAGTTGCCGACCTGGTGAGGGGGTGCGGGCCGGCCTGTGAGAGACCATTTGCAGTCTAAGCTGAGGAAATGGGGTGACGCGTTGGCATCCATGCCTTGGGCTCGGTTGCAGGTGCGACAGAGAAGGGAGACGGCCTTGGGACAGGCAGAGGGTCGTGCCCACGGAAGGCTGCCAAGGCGGGCGCTCCCCTGCCTGCCAGGGAGCAGCTGGGGGAAATGCAGTGTGAGATTGCCAGGCCGCAGACTGGTTTGTCCCTCGTGGAGGTCTTGCTGGCCACACGCTCACAGCCCTGTGCCCCTGCAGAACACCTGTTCATCCAGACCTTCTGGCGGACCATGAATCGGGAGTGGAAGAGCATCGACGGGCCTCGGCTGGACAAGTACTGCATGGTGAGCGTGCAAGTGGGCCTGGCTCCTGGGGTGTGCCGGTGGAGAGAGCGCCAGGCCACCTGTGCGCTGACCCACTGCTCTCTCGGCAGCTGACCCGCCTGGTCCTGCGGCAGTCCTTGGAGGCTCTGAAGCGCAACGGTTGGGAAGAAAGGTTGGTGACCTGGGGGTGAAGGCACCCAGCCCCTGGGACCGGCCCCTCTGTGCCACCTCCATGGAGCGAGCGGCAGTGGAGGTGCCCGTGGGCTTCCTGCAGGACCTGCTTGACGCAAGTCCTGTGTGCTCTCACAGCCAAATCCAGCTTTTCCTGGACGTGCTGGTGAAGGAGATCCTGGGGCCTGAGGGCCACTCTCCTGACGGCGTGAGGACCCATTTCATCACCATGTACCTCGATGAGCTCTCCAAAGTGGGGGGAAGAGAGGTGAGGGGCAGCGTCGGGCTGGCTGGCCTCTGGCCATACATCGAGCCCGTCCAGGATATGGGGCTTCTCAGAAAGCAGGCTGCAGGCAGTCCTAGGCAAATGACAGCCTGGTGTGAGCCGGCTCGCTGCACCACAGGACGCTGAAGCAGTGGCTTTAATCTTCAGGCCGGGCTGCAGCGGTTTCTGCTTTTTTCCCTTTCACGTGTGTGCTACTGAAGAGAGCACGCCGCTTTCCTCATTTCTAGCATATGCGGTAGCGGGCCTGGCTTCTTGGTTAGCCTGGGATTTTTACTTGTTAGAGAAACAGCTCATGCACAGGCTCACTTCCCCAGATGTCCTTCACAGAGCTGGCGGGTCCGATGGCCGCCCCGTAGTGTGTTAACTGTGGTATAATGTCCTGTCCTAGGCTGCGTCCTCCTTTGCAGGGTCCCGGAGGGGATTCCTGCAGAAACGGGAGTGTCGTGGTGGGGCCGGGCAGCACTGGCTGAGCTGAGAGATTCTTTGGGGCTCCTGTCAGGGTTGGGGACATGGTAAGAGGGAGACCCGCCCTCTGTCACTCTCATTTCGTCCTGTTTTGCTCCTGAATGACAGCTCATGGCAGATCAGAACCTGAAGTTTATTGATCCATTCTGCAGAGTTGCTGCCAAGACTAAGGAGTAAGTGGTCCCCACGGTTGGCCCTGCCCAGCACCCGCGGGCTTTCCTCCAGGGCAGGTGCTGCCTACCCGTTGTGCCCCTGTTTCGGAAACGGGGCAGAATAGCAGAATTCAGCACCTCTGTTCCCATCAGCCAAGCGAGCTCTGGGTCGGCTTTTCCAGCCCCAGGGTTCACTGCAGTAACGCAGGATGGCCCTTGGGGTTTCCTCCCAGTTTGCTGGTCGCACAGGGGCTTAGTCAGGGCTCCAAGCAACTGTCGTGGTTCTGTGCAGCACTTCCCCTCTGCTCCGTGCTGCCATCCTTGGAGCAGGGTGTGGGGCCTGTGTGCTAACCCCATCCTCTCCCCTGTGCTTCTCCCCTCAGCCACACACTGATGCAGACCATAGCACGGGGGGTCTTTGAAGTTATTGTAGATCAGTCTCCCCTGGCCCCTGAGGAGACCCTGGGAGAAGAGAAGATGGAAGTGGGAGACACTGCCCCTTCTGAAGGAGAGCTTCCTGAAGACGACACGGCAGGTACAGGACTGTCCCGCCTACTGCGGCTCCAGAACTTTCGGGTTGGGTTTAGTGTTTGGAACTCCTGGCATGGCCTTGCACCTGTTGGGGCTCCGTCGGGTGTCCCGTGGTGCTTAAACACCCCAGGTGCTGGGTCCTCCTTGCCACTGTGGGTGCATAGTGCCACACCTGCCAGAACTCACAGGTCACAGCTCACCTTCTGACATCTGGCTTCGCCATTAAGAAGCAAGGGGTTTAAAAAACTAAGCACCAAAAAAAGTTTAATAATTTTTTTTTAAAAAAGCATAATAGTGCCCGGCACAATAGCGTAATGGTTAAGGTCCTCGCCTGGAACACGCCGGGATCCCATATGGGTGCCAGTTCTAATACCAGCAGCTCCACTTCCCATCCAGCTTCCTGCTTGTTGCCTGGGAAAGCAGTCAAGGACGGCTCAAAGCCTTAGGACCCTGCACCTGTGTGGGAGACGCAGAGGAGGCTCCTAGCTCCTGGCTTCGGATTGACTCAGCTCCAGCCGTTGGGACCACTTGGGGAGTGAACCATCAGACGAAAGATCTTCCCCTCTGTCTCTCCTCCTCTCTGTATATCCACCTTTCCAATAAAAATAAATAAATCTTTTTAAAAAATAAAAGCAGAATAGCAAAACTCTATAGATGGACCCCGATTTGTTTTTAAAGTTCTGTGGGGTTTTGTTTGGTTTGGTTTTCTCTCCTGCAGAGAGAAAAGAGACATCTTGCGTCTGCTGGTCCACTCTCCAAGTGGTCACAATGGCTGCGGCTAAGGAGCCTTCTCCACCCAATCCCACGTGGTGCAGGGGCCCAGGAACTTGAGCCATCCTGCACGACTTCCAGGCCGTTAGCAGGGAGCTGATCGGAAATGGAGCAGCTGGTACACGAATGGGTGTCCGTGTGGGATGCCAGGGCCGCTGGCGGAAGCTACACCACAGTGCTGGCCCCGTGATTTTGGTGTAAAGATCAGAAAGGCAGTTACAGAGAGAGAGGGCTTTCACCCCTGGAACACCCTCCAGATGGCCACAAAGTCTGGCAAGACCAGGCAGAAGCCATGAGCTGAGAACCCATCCAGTCTCCTGTGTGGGTGCAAGGGCCCAAGGACGTGACGTCATTTGCTGCTTTAGTGGGCGTGTTGACAAGGATCTGGAACCTGAGCTCAAAGGACATTGGTGTCACAGGCAGCGGCTTAACCCACACCACACTGCTGGCCCCTAGGTTTTGGTTTTGTTTTCAAAGCTCTGTGAGTGCCTTTGAAAACATGCGAACAGCAGAATGTGGCCAGCCGTCTCCTGAGGCCACCTGGCCTAGGGTGGCGCCCTGCTGCTGCAGGTTCTGACCATGGTGCTGATTGCCCACGGGGCAGCAGCTCCCTGTGTGCCCCTGGTGCCTTGGGGTGATGTCTTGATGTGTTTTCCTAGTGCTGGGCAGGTGCCCCTCCAGGAAGGATGGAGTCTGTGAACAGAGAGAGAGTAACGACCGTGGGGCCTCGGGGGACGCTGGGCCTCCCCTCCAGGTGAGTGACCGGCACAGTTCTGCGTTCAGGGTCAAAGCCAGCTGCGCTGGAGGCTGGCGTGTCAAGCCCTGTCCATCCTGTGTGAGTACGTGACCTTGCCCACATCACAGTTGGTCCTGGTTTTGAATAGCTGGGCGGTTCTGTCCCGCATGACACAGCCAGCTTCCAGGGCACATTCCAGTTAGGGGAGTCTGAACCACTGCTGAGTGGAACTCGGCCACTCCGACTAGATCTCTCGCGTGATCCTGCCTGTGGCTGCAGGATGCGTGTCCTGCCACGGCCTCCCCATGGTTCCAGGACATCCCACTTTGCCACATCGGTGCCTATAACCCTGCCAAGTCTAACCACGCCCATGCCCTGGTGGGGCCCGAGTGCGGCTCTGCCTCCAGCTCACCGTGCTTTTCTTGCCCAGTTTGATTATGGCGCTGTTGCCGAGCGGCTCCTGGAGATGACCAACAAGAAGAACACCCCTCCCTTCAACAGGAAGCGCCTCTGCAGGCTCATCCGGAAGTAGGTGCGGGGCAGAGGGGCGGGCTGGCACCCACTGGGACGGCTAGCCCATGCCACTCCCCACCCCAAAAGTGGCTGCGTTTATCTCTTCACGCTGGTTCCTGGTGATAAAAAAAGAAACCTGTGTGTAACTAAACTTGACAGATTGTAAAACGCTGGTGCGAGGCTGCAAGGAATCCTCCTATGAGCACTGTGGAGACGGGCAGGGCTTGCCCAGTTCCCCATGGGTTTGTCCCAGAAGTGTCCCTGAGCCCAGCAGCTGTCACTGACACTGGCTCGTGCCAGCTAATACTCCTGTTCCGTCCCCCGGAGAGTGTTCAGTCATTCTGTGTCACACCCTGGGTGAGGGGACCCCGTGTCCCACACTGAGGGCAGCAGTGGCTGCTCGGGGAGCTGGCTCCCTGCCACCCACGGGCCAGCCTCCGGCCTCTCATCCCCACCCAGCCCACTGGGCTCTGATGGCCCAAGTCAGCTCACAGGGCTTCCTTCTTGTCTCAGTGTTTGCTTGGAAGGAAAGAAGCCCAGGAGGGGGCCTCAGAAGCCTGCCCCCTTTCCAGCTGGAGCGAGGGCCTCTGGGGGTGTCTGTCAGGTGCAGGAGCTGACGCACTGCCCCCCTGCAGCCCACACAGCCCCTGGCTGCCGCCTCATGGCCCCGATCCCTGGAAGTGGAAAGGGCGTGCTCCGTGGTGCTGGACTGAGAGCATGGGCATCTATAAACATTGATTTGGGTGTTTTTGTTTTTGTGTTTTTGGGGTTTTTTATTTGTTTTGTTTTGTTTTTTGGAAAGGCAGAACTTTCTGCTAGTTCACTAACCAAATGGCATCACCGACCAGAGCTGAGCTGAGCCAAAGCCAGGAACTTCTTTCAGGTCTCCCATGTGGGTGCAGGGTCCCAAGGCTTTGGGCCAGCCTCCGCTGCTTTCCCAGGCCACAAGCAGGGAGCTGGATGGGAAGCAGAGCAGCTGGGACATGAACCAGTGTTCACGTGGAATGCTGCACTTGGAAGTGGACTACTAGCCATTTGAGCCGTTGTGCAGGGCCCTGACTTATGTCTCTTTGAAAGGCAGAGTAACAAAAAAAGAACACCAAGATCTTCTGTGTACTAGAAGAATACATGTCCCAAGAGACCACCATAGCCAGGCCTGGGCTGGGAGTTCCATCTCGGTCTCCCATGTGGAGGGCACGAACTTGGGTGCTAGGGCATCCTGTGTGCTTCCCAGGCCGCAAGTCAACAAGGAGCTGAATTGGGAGTGGAACAGCCAGCGGGTGTGTGTGGCCAGTGGGCTTCCCCTCCACTGCACGATGCTGGCCCGCTGGGGTCTAGAGGGGGTTCACTGTAGGAATAGAGCGTTAGATAGACAATAAGCTGGCTAGCACTGCCTGCCTTCACTTACTGAGAGGCGGGCAGAAAGCTCCTGCCTACCAACTTGCTCATGCTGACGCCAAGCCAGGGCCAGCAGCTCGGTGAAGGACCCACCCACCCCCCGACTTGGGTGCCAGGCACTCCAAGCCAGGAACCAAGCCGGGCACTGTGGAAAACGGGCATCCTAACCACCACCTGCACTCACTGCCTGTGGTCTTTCTTGGCAGGTTCCAGGATCTCTCCGAAGGTGAGTGAAGGCCATCGCTTTGGGATGCCCTTTCGTCAACATGGACTCGGGTAGGGGGCACTCAGACCAGCTGGCAGACACAGAGATGGCAGCCACAGTCCCTGCACTGGGCCAGGGGTGGAGGAGGGGTCTGTTCCCTGGAAGTTCTGGGGATCTCTGCGGTCTCCATGTTGCATGGGAAGAAGCAGCCACCAACATCGGGGCACCCCTGATGGGCTCTCGGGTTCAGCCATCCCGAGGACCTGGCTGCACTCACGCAGACGCGTGCAGCGCCTGTTAGAGCGTGGAGACTCCCTTGGCCAGGGCCCTTCCCCAGGGCTGAGCCACGCCACGTGGCCGCTGCCTTGCCGTGGCCGTGCGCCTACAATGCTCTCCCACATCCCGTCCTGTGTCAGCAGCGTTGGGGTCTCACAGCCGTCGGGGGAGCCCAGCCTTAGCAGGGCTGGGAGCAGCCTGTGGGAGGGTGAGGTGTGAGGAAGCTGAGACATGCCACCTTGGTGTCCAGCGGGAAGTGAGTCTCAGCTCCGTATGGTGGAGGACACACCATCTGCGGATGGAGAAGACCAGCTCCTTGGCCCAGGACGGCGCCCGAGCGAGAGCCACGCACTTCCGGAGAGCATGGGCCTGGGGGAGGAGAGAGGCAAGCTGTGGGGTCCGCGGAGGGCGAGGGGCGGAGGGCGGGGGGCAACCCGGGGCTGCAAGGCATAGCTTGCCCCAGGTTGGTCTCCCTGGGGCGGGCCTGGAGGAGGAAAGAGGCAAGCTGTGGGGTCCACGAAGTACAGGGGGTGGAGGGCAGGAGGCGAGGGGGGTGACCCGGGGCTGCAAGGCACAGCTTGCCCCCCAGGGTTGGTCTCCCTGGGCTGTGTCGGGCTGATGCTGCAGATGCCAGGTCCCCTCCTGCAGGCCCTCCCTTGGAGCAGAGGGCTGCTAAGACCCTGTGGGCTTAGGAAGGAGGCAGAAGTGGGGGCTTCAGTTGTAGCTGCAGAGGGAGTGTCTGGGGCCAAAGGTGGAGCCAGGGCACTGCCAGGGGTTCAGGAATCCAAAACTTTCTCTGGGGGCAGCCAGGAAGCTTGCCCATGCCCCCCAGCCAGCCTGGCCCGTGTTGACTGGCGTGTGTGTGTGCAGGGAGCAGAGTCCTGGCCGGGGAAGAGGGCAGAGGAGGCAGTATCCTGAAGAGAAAGCGCAAGAAGAACCAGCAGCTGCAGGCTGCAGGTCCCAGCCCAGACGGTGCAAGTCAGGGACCCGAGGCCACTGGCCCCTCACCCAGCAAGAGGAAGCGGCTCAAGAAGAAGGGCCTGAAGGCTGGCCGGGAGGCCTGGGTGTCGCAGAGTGGCCCCCTGGGGGGACACCCTCAGGACCTCGCCCCCACAGGCAGAGCCCGAGTCAAGAGGAAACGGAAGCTCGGGGCGCTCCTGGTCAAGGGCAGCGGCCTGGTCCGGCTGGCCTGGCCTGCGATGAGCCCAGCAGAGGCCGCCCTGCCTGAGGGCGACAAGCCCCATAAAAAGAAGGCTGGAGCCAGCAGCCTCAGCTCAGACAACCTGCCCACTCAGAAGGCCGCTGTCTTGAAAAAGAGGAAGAAGAGAAAGAGGTCCAGCGTGCTGGGATGCAGCAGCGAGCTGGGCTCCGAGGCCGAGCAGTGCCAGACTCTGGTAAGGAGCACAGCCTAGCAGGTGTGAGCCCACTGAGCACCTGCCTACAGTGGGATGAGCTGGTGAACCAGGCGGTGTTAAAACATGCGCGGCTCCCAGCAGCCTTTGCTGGCAGGGTGTGGCAGACGGCACCTCTCCATGCTGTACCTGGGTCTTCAACTCCACTTCATCCATCAGACCTCCCGCTTGACCAGGTGTTAGCCCTGAGCTGGAGAGATGCCCGTGGCGCAGGCCGGCACCCTGATCCCCAAGTCTCCGCTGCAAGGCGCTCTGTGCTGCCCGTGGGACTGCACACGGCAGGCCACAGGCTGCACCTTCCATGCCCACCCAGACAGGGACCATGACCACACCAGTCCTGGCAGCTGCCTTCACATTGCAGCACTGAGCAGGTGGCCGTGGCGGAGACCACAGGGCCAGGGGAACTCCTCTCTGGTGCTCCACAGCAGGCTTGTCTAGCACCCTTGCTGACACACAAGGCTGCAGCAGCCAGGACCTCAGGCACAACCATGTGGTGAGGGTGCTTGTGGGCCCTAGAGACCTGGTGCAGGGCAGCAGGGGACCCCTGCAAGCCCAGCCCTGGCAGGGTCAGGGAGAGCTTGTGGTCCTTGGGGGCCTGGTGCAGGACCAGCAGGTGGTGGCAAAGTGGTCCACTGCAGGCTGCTCAGGACCCCCTGGCCTCAGGGTAGTCCACTGCAGGCTGCTATGAGCCCCCAGGCCGCAGGGTGGTCCACTGCAGGCTGCTCTGGACCCCCAGGCCGCAGGGTGGTCCACTGCAAGCCCAGGGTGGAAGAGGCTTCATGTTGCTGGTCGTGGGCAGGGACACAGGCCCCTGGGATGGCCCACCCACATGTGCCTGTGCCTGCCTGTGAGGGCCTTTGGGACCACTACAGCCAGCCCCAAGGATTTAGCCCCTGGAGGGGCAGAAGGATGGGGGCACAAGGCCTTCCTCCCAGGGGTGAGAGCCCTGAGCACATGCTGCTGGTCGACCCCCAGTGCCAGCCTCACTTCTGCCCCTCGACCACCAGGAAAGCATCAAGGCCTTCAGCCCTGCCGAGACACCATTGAGGATGGAGAGCGACTTTGTCAAGTTTGATTCGTCCTTCTCCCCAAAGCCCGTGTTCTTCAGGAAAGCCAAGAGCAGCACCCCCACCTGCTCGCCGCACCCCACTGCCCAGGTACAGGCCCTGCCAGCCATCCTGAGTCCAGCTACAGCACAAGGGCTGCCGTCCAACCCTGCCAGTAGATGGGCCTCTACGAGCCAGGCTGCTGACTGGTGCTGGGCGGGGAGGCCCACCCCTAGAGTCACAGGTTGGGGTGCCATGGGCTGCCAGGAGGTACAGGTTCCCAGGGCCTGGGGGGCTTCCTGGTGCTCAGTGAGTCTACTTCTAGAAGTAAAGGAGGGGGCACGTTACCTCCAGGTGGCCTGCTGGACCTGCACAGGTAGAACTGTAGGTTTCACAACCGTTGCCGTGCTGGTCCATCCTGGGTGTGGTCTGAGCAGCAGGGACAGGGGCCTGGGAGGTGACCCTGGTCATGTTTGGGTCCCAAGTGGTGCTGGGCGGTCTCCGGCGGAGCCACTGGAACTCAAACCCCTGTGACTGCTTCCCTCCCGTCCCCAGCTGACCAGAACACCATCCAGCTCCAAGAAGGTCACCTTCGGGCTCAACAGGAACATGACGGCAGGTGAGGGGGCTGGCCCACTCAGTCCGCTAGCACCACCCTCTACAGTGCCACCACCAGGATGGGGGACACGGGAGTCAGAGGGAAGCTCCCGGGCCACAGGCCCTCCCACCCCAGGCCTGGCTCCTGGGCCCACCTGCCTGCAGCTCCGTTGGAGTGCTTTCCTGTTGGGCTGGGGCCAGGTCACCCGCTGACTTCTGGTCCCCTTCCTACGGCAGAGTTCAGGAAGACCGACAAGAGCCTCCTGGTGAGCCCATCGGGTGCCTCGCGCGTGGCCTTCGACCCCGAGCAGAGGCCTCTGCACGGCGTGCTGAAAACCCCCCACAGCTCACCAGCTGGCACCCCGAGAAGGAGACCGCGGGCTGTGGATTTCTTCTGAGAAGGGTCCTTTGCCAAAGTGGCTTTTGTACAGAGAATTCTATAAATTATCACTTTCTATGCCGGGCCTTTCCACCGTGTTCTGTGTCCCCGTGGAGCTGCGGGTTCTGCCATGGCTGCCTCCCAAGCCAGAGCTCTGGGCACTTCTCCAAGGCCCAGCAGAGTACAGCATTGGGGTCCCTACCAGTGTCTTCAGGGTGACCCCCAGCTCCCGCACTCAGAGGCCACGAGTATCTCCTGCTCTCCCGGCTCCTGGCCTGGCCTGTTCCTGCTGCCAGCTCCCACTGAGCCCCACAGGCTCTTGCATGGCATCTCCTGCTGCTCCCACATGGGCCTGTGGGAGTTGGGGGCCCAGGGCTGTGTCCCCCCAAAGCAGTGACCTGTCCTGGGGTGATACCTGTACACGGGTGCTACTGGGGCAGGAAGTTAACAGACACAGCGCCCTTGTTCACCCCAGCTGCCTTAGGGAAAGCCCAACTACACACCAGTTTGCACACGTCCTCAGAGCACAGGGCAGGTGTCGTGCCCACGTGTCCTATCGTCCAGCGATAAGAGGCAGATGCGAGTGAAACCTTCTGCGGTAAACTTTATTGCAAGCACCAAGATGAGGAAGGGGAAAGGGCCCCGACCCCGGCAGGCTGTCTGCTCTTATGTGCTGACCGGCCCCGCCTCCGCCGATGATAGGTCAGCGTCATGATCACGCAGGGTCCTGGGCGACCGGATTCGTCAGTCCCCAGTGTTCACACGCCGGCCACGCCGCAGCTCACGCGAAAGCTACGTGACTCTCCACCAGGCACCAAGGTGTGGCTTCTCCGGCCGGCGCCATTTTGGGTACGGCATGTGGCCAGTGCATACAGATGCGGCTGGCAACAGGCAGGCCCTGGCTAGGCCTGACACCCGTGACATGACAGGACCAAGCCCTTCTCCCTGGCTGCTGGTGACTCACGGTGTGTGGTGTAGCCCCCACACCCAACACCCCCACAAGGGGAGCCCCAGGTCTTCACCAGCACTCAGGCCAGTCCCCGCGTCCCAGGTCACTTTGGAGGGGCCTGGCCCAGGAGTGTAGAGTAGGTGGGCCTTCCTTGTGTCCTTGAGTCAGGTGTGTTGGCCACAAAAACACACTTCCTGCCCCAAGGGTTGCTGGGCGTGGGCCACGGGCATTGCGCTCCAGCCAGCGGTGTAGGGACGCCCCCTGTGTGGGCCTGTGATGACCAAAACTGACGCAGTGGGAAGACTTGGTGAAAGGAACGACTGGTTTTTAAACTTTTCATCAGCTTTCATTTCAGCTGGGGTGTCCCAGTGAAGTGCTATAGGTGGGCCTGTGGTCACCCGTGGGTGCTGCACTGTCTCCTGTCCTGTGCCAGCCTGCGGATGTGAGCCGGTCTTCTTAGGCACCGTCCCCTCCTGCCTCTGGCCGGGCCGCAGGCTGGCTTATTAATACATATGTTTTGGCCACAGAGCGAGAAAATGTGATGTTGCTGCGGAGTTGCCATAGGGCATGAACTTCCAGGAAAGGGACACGTGTGCCTGTGACCCAACTGGTGAAACTGAAGTTACAGCCTGGGGAGCTTCGTGCAATTTGACACCAAACTTTCCAGTTTAGAAAGATTCTAAGGTACAGCCAAGTCCATGCCCGCCTCGGGTCTGCAGTGCTGTCCGACACGACCCGGGATGAGCTGACATGGTGGAAAGCAAGGCTCTTGAGTCCCTGTGCCCCTGCTGTGTCAGCTCCCAAGGCCGAGTGTTGACTTCCTGTGGCTACTTGCGCAATCAGCTCACTGTTATATAAAACCACTCCACAGTCTGGGCAGAGACCCTGCGCTGCACCCCAGGAAGGCTGGTCCACAGCTGGCCGTGGCCTGCAGGTGCAGAATCGCTGTCCCCGTGTGGATGGGCGCCTGTCCACCAGACTAACTGCTCTTGTGGTTTGGGTCTGGGCAGTTCGTGGGCGGCATCCTGGTTGCTAAATACGGGGAGGTGGGAGGAGCCGGAAGCTGCCCCCCAGGCATCCCAGATGTTCCCCTGGGCGGAGAGATGGCAGCTTCCGGGAGCTTGTCCTGGCAACTAGAAGACACTAAGTGGTTTGGTTTGGTTTTGTTGTTTTTCTTGTTTTATTTTGACTTGAAAGAGAGAGAAGGTGAGATCTTCCATCTGCTTCTTCACTGCCCAAATTGTCACAATGGCCAGAGCTGAGCCAGTCCCAAGGCAAGAGCCAGGAGCAGCTGCTGGGTCTTTCACATGGGTGCGGAAGTCCCAAGGACTTCGACCCTCTGCTGCTTTCCCAGGTACGTCAACAGGGAGCTCAATCAGAAGTGGAACAGCCAGGACTTGAACTGGAGCCTCCATAGAATGCTGGCACTGTAGGTGGAGGGTTATCCTGTGAGCCACCGTACCTCCCCAGAAGATGACACACTAAAAAATAAAGGTGTGGAGCAATGTCCTAGCAAGTACACTGTAGAGATGATTTCTAAGAAGTGAGAATTCTGAGGATTTAGCCGCGGCTTGTGACACCAGCATGACACAAGTGCAGGTTCAGGGCCGAGCTGCCCAGGCTTCGTCCAACTTCCTCCTAATGCTCAGGGAACCGGCAGAGAACGTACCAAGGACTTGGGTCCCTGGCACCCGTGTGGCCCCAGGACGGGTTCTAGGCTCTGCTTCCACCTGGCCCAGCTCTAGCTATTGCAGGCATTGGGGAGTGAACCAGTAGAAGGAGACCGTTTCTGTTGCTTTGCCTCTTGAATAAAATAAATACCTGTACAAAAATACATTGTGTGTGGTTTTTTTATACAAAGAGAAGATACAGAAACATCCATTCACTGGCTCACTCCCCAAGTGGCTACAATGGCCAAAGCTGAGCCAACCAAAGCTAGGAGTCTTGCTGGTCTCCCACGCAGGTGCAGGGTCCCAAGGCTTCAGGCCATCCTGGACTGCTTTCCCAGGCCACAGGCAGGGACATGAATCGCTGCCCATGTGGGATCCTTAAGGATGCAAGGCAAGGATTTAGCCATTGTGCTGGGTCCAAAAATACATTTTTTAAAATCAGGAATTCTGGGCCTGGCGTAGTGGCCTAGAGGCTCAAGTCCATGCCTTGAGAATGTGCCAGGATCCCATATGGTGCCGGTTCTAATCAACTTCCCATCCAGCTCCCTGCTTGTGGCCTGGGAAAGCACTCGAGGATGGCCCAAAGCCTTGGAACCCCCTGCACCTGCGTGGAAGATCTGGAAGAAGCTCCTGGTTTCGAATCAGCTCAACTCTAGCTGCTGTGGCCACTTGGGGAGTGAATCATCAGAAGATCTTCTCCCTATCTCTCCTCCTCTCTGTATATCTTACTTTGCAATAAAAAAAAAATTTTTTTTAAATAAAGCTAGGAATTCTGATATCAGCAAGTTGGGTAACTGAATTGTGGTTTCTGCAGGCAAAATGGTCAACAGACTTCCTGAGCTGGTGGGAATTCTTGTCATCCAAGGAACGGTTACATGGAGCAGCCTTGCAGAGAGCCAGGACCTCGTCCGACTCACACATGGCGAGGCTTCCAGAGCAGAGGAAAACGCAGTGACTCAGAAACCCCCAGATGTGTGCCCACCCGTCACATAATCGGGACATTCCGTACAGCGGCAAAGGCCCAAAGGGAATCCTGCTGACAGACAAAAACGGCTTAAGAGCAACCCGACCTGGACCCCAGTGTGGTTAGCCTTGCCCTGGAGCGCCAGAGGTGGGCGCAGCCTGACCTGGACCCCAGTATGGTTAGCCTTGCCCTGGAGTGCCAGAGGTGGGTGCAGCCTGACCTGGACCCCAGTATGGTTAGCCTTGCCCTGGAGTGCCAGAGGTGGGTGCAGCCTGACCTGGACCCCAGTGCGGTTAGCCGCTGCCCTGGAGCGCCAGAGGTGGGTGCAGCCTGACCTGGACCCCAGTGTGGTTAGCCTTGCCCTGGAGCGCCAGAGGTGGGCGCAGCTGGGGCGGCTGCGTCCTGAGCTCCAGGCACAGCTGCTAATCCACGCCTTGAGAGGCAGCACATGACGGTATAAAGGTCCCTGTCTCCCTCTTGGAAGACCCAGACTGAATTCTGGGTCACTTTCCCCAGCCCCTCCCAGAACAGGGACATGTGACTTGGGGGCTGGACCGGGGACCAGGAATCTGGGAACCTGGGTGCTGGGACCTGGAGCCAGCAACAAAGAGCTGCATGTCGGCCTCATGCTGCAGAACAGGCTGCAGCAGGTGGAAAGCCGAGGGCCTGTTCCTGGAGGTGAGATGCAGGCATGCGTTCGAGACCGGCTGGCCTTCACAGCTGTGCACCTGCCCCGTGAGGCTCTCCGCTCCGCCTCAGTGTCTGGGTGGCCTGACCCCAAGCCTCCCCAGCTCCGTGGGCTGTGTTCCGGGCGAGGGAGTGTGGAAGAGGTGCTTGCACATGTCTACCTGGATTGGGGTTAGTGCCCCCTGCTCTGTCCGTTAATGGCAATGAAGGAACACATTTTTTTCCAGAATTTTCTTTATTTGGAAGACTTACAGAGAGGGAGACAGAGAATCTTCCAGCCTCTGGCTCACTCCCCAGGTGGCTCAGACAGCCAGGGGCTGGGCTGGGCTGAAGCCAGGAGCCTGGACTCCATCTTCTGCCACCTCCTCCGTCATATCACCAGGAAGCCTTCCAGAAGAGGAGCAGCTGGGGCTGTGCCATTCACATGGGACTTCACGTGTGTCTTAACAGCCCCAGGCTTGGATGGGACTGGGCACTGGGGCACAGGGGTGTGGCTCAGGCCAGTGTCCCATTGGCCACCCTGTGTCGAGGTCCTGGGCCACCTCCCCAGCCTCCCAGCCACAGGCAGGGAGAATGAGGACCATGGAGGTCAGGCCCCTAAGACCCAAGCAGGGACCTGCCCCTGTTGGTTACCATGGCAATGCCAATCTCACTTTAGGGCCTTTTTGAGGGGAGGGAAATAGGAGGAAGCTGACAGAAAGGGAGCTTTTGTGTCCACCTCCAGAGGACTGAGGCCCTGACACACACACCCGCAGGCGGCCCGGCCTGGGTCTGCTGGGTCCGCACTGCAACCCTGGCCAGGCCA